ACATCCATTGCCAATCCTCCTCCTTTTTTTCCCCAAAGCCCCAGTAGATAGTTGTATGTCATAGCTGCACGTCCTTCTAGTGGCTGTAGGTGGGACCGGGCCTCAGCATGGCCGGAGAAGCGGTGCGTCGGTGCGCGCCTGGGATCCAAACCTGGGCCGCCAGTAGCGGGCGCGTGCACTTAATCGCTAAGCCACGGGGCCGGCCCCTGATTTGGGTTTTAATGTTCTTTTTCCCCTCCATCTCAAGCACCAGAAAACTTTTTTTCACCCTGAAAGTCCTTCCAGCAGGGCTAAGCAACGCTGATTGGCGCCTTGGCCAGGACATATGAACAATAATGGACAGCGATTCAACCATTACTCTGGGCCAGGAAAGTATCGACTCACAATTACAACCTCGTAATTAAGATGTTATTATTACTCCCATTTAAGGGATTAAAAAACTGAGGCTCAAAGAAGTGAAGCCACTTGCCTAAAGCCAGCCAGCTTGCAAGTGGCAGAACCCAAACCTAAACCCAAACTTCTCCCCAAAACCCCAGTGCTAGCGTGGAGCAAAGGAATTAATGAGCCTGTACTCAGAAAACCGCAGCACCACATGCAACCGTCCCCTGTTCACTTCCCGTTTCTCTCGTGCTGCTGTGTGGACTTCAGCCCCAATGGCGCGCTTGTCTCAGCTCCAGAGGGCCGGCCGGGGAGCCTCCCCCGCTCCTCCTGAGCACTCAGCACCATTCCCGGGGGGCTGCAGGCTCCTCAACAGCCCCAAAGTACACAAAACGCTCCAAGGAAAAGACCGAGCACACAGTAGGTGCTCAGGAGGGTTACTGTGCCAGGTTGCCAAAGCAACAGAGCAGACTGCATTACTCCCTTTTTCTTTTCTTATAAAGTCAAAAAAAAAAAAATGCTAAATATCTTCAAAGCAGAAGGAGGAGGGCCTAAGGTGCTCGGGGAAGTGGGTCGGATGCGACGCTAGACGAAATTCGGGGTTGTCGGGGAGCGCGCAGCAGCGCGGGGAGAGGGCGCGGGCGGGCAGGGCGCCCCCTAGGCCGCGGACGGTGCCTGGCTCACAGTAGGTGCTCATTCAAACGTGCTGAATGAATGAATGAGAGGCGCGGCCGGCGTCAGCGCAGCCAGGGGAGGCCCCCGGCGCGCCGCCCTGGGGGGCGAGGTCCAAGGAGAAGCGCGGCGCGGAGGGGAGGGCGCCCCGAGGCCCTGCGCCGGAACCGGCCTC